AGAGACTGAGAGAGAGAGAGAGAGAGAGAGAGAGAGTGAGAGATGGAAGAATCGTAGCGGCGAAGGGGAGACGGACCGCCCGCTGCCACTGAAGTAGTCGCGTACTTGCGTGCGTGGAACCCACACACCGAACACGTGTAAACACACGTTCGGGCGAAATCAGAAAAAGCCTCGTCTTCGCTTTCCACGCGATGCGTCCGCGAGAGGCGGTAAAGCTGCGTGCATAGAGGCGAACACGAGACAGGAACGAGATAACGTTGCTCCGACACCATGCTTTGATGGAATATGTACGATTAATAAGGGCTTAGGATCTTGGGGAATCGTTGAGGCAGACCGGTTGTAACTTGTCGATAGATCATTCGGGTTAAGCGGAATACTGCGGCGGAGGTAACAGAGACGGGACGGATGGAAAGTACATATATATTTTTCATGGTTTATGAAGACACTTAGGAAATTTTAGGTCTTTGAAGGTATTTTTGTGGTCCTCGGAATTTTCTGGTGTAGATTATATAATAGTAAACTATAATTAAGAAATTGTAACTTATTGTGATGAGGAAAACGGTGAAATTTCTGAAAAAACACGAGGAATATTATAATACAAAATTGATGCTAATTAAAATAAATATCACAATCTAGAGGCAAAATTGTTTGAAAAAAGGAAGCAATTGCAAGGAATCAGAACATCCGAGTTTACAGATTACGATAATTTACTAATCAAGAAAATTAGTGAAAATAATCAGAGTAAACATATAAAATAATATAATAACGAAAAGATGATGATTTAAGGAAAAACTTCGGAAGAGAAAATATGATAGAATAGTGAATAAAAGCAAGAGAATTTTCACTATAATTTATCTACTGTTATTACTGCGATTCCGAGCATATTGTCTCCCTGATACGACGATCAATTACATCAGAAGTAAATAGGCGGATCATACTCCATTAGATGCGATTATCGTGAATTACAGCTGTATACTTTGTTATTTATTGGCGACATAAGCGTTAGACTGCGTGCCTCGGTATGCACAGCGCCTAAGAAAGGGACGACGGTCTCCTCGGTGCACGCAAGCGGCGCGATGAAGCATTGCACTTGCTGCAACTGCGCCGGCGAGCCGCTCGAGAGCAATCGTGTCCAGCCTGAACGGGCAAACACGTGTTCCCCGCCATTCTTTGCGGCGCTAGAAAGACCGCGGGATCGCCGTAAAATCGTGTTCGGCCGTTCTGATTCCAGTTAACCTCTCTCCTCTCATCTCATTTTCGCAGTGGTGTAACGATCCCTGCTCTCTTCGTTCCAAGAACGGGCTCTCTTATCTCCAATGCCACTTGTTAAGTAGCCATACACCACTTATCTCTCCCACAGTATTTCGAAGCTCATCAATGCCCGATACTCTCGATTCCTTATTAATAAACGAACGCCCCATTCAATCGCTCATCCCTCTAAAAATACCCGACAACAGAAAATCTCTGTTGCAACTTCCGCGTTCAGGAGGAGTCGCCAACGGCAACAGTCTCTCGCCCTGCAATTACTCAAATCGAATGACGAGGGCAATTTTCATTCTTCCATCGCGGCAAAAACTTCCGGCTATATCTGGCCTCGTTCGTGGAAGTCGTTGAGCCTCTTTGACTCCCTGTGGCAGCCACGGCTGTCGTCTATTCCGCTCGCCCTCGACGATTCTAGCCGATAAATAGCGCGGCCGAGACACGCGTACGCTTCTTACCGATCGGTTTTTAGCATTCCTGCGCCATTCAAGACAAGACCGACATTGTTTATCGGCGGCATGTGACGCGCACCGCGCTGCCCGCCGATATCGGAGTCGTAACGGGTCGAAGATACGACCCTCTCGCCGCGAATATCGGTTCGCTATGCGCTCGACGAGGAAAAACGTCCCGTATCGCTTGTGCCAGCGTGCGAAACGCCGCTGTCGCGCTCGCTGTCCCGTTTCGATCGACGCTCTTCTCCGTCGGCGGCGACTGGGAACGAAATGGTCCGTAGTGCCGGATAGCCAGACATTTCCCGGGATTTCGCGAATCCTCGCGACTCATCGGACAATGTTAATTAGAGCGGGTGCAACGATCCGATAATGATACCCGGGAGACTACGATGGCGCACGATTAGCGTGCTCACTTCTCTGACAGATATTTCATCTCCGCGAGTTAGGGTCAGTGAACACGGGGCCGGAGTAGGAGTAACACAAGCGCCAGATTCATGGGAGCGGTGCTACATGGAAATCCCGCGGGGAGCGTAATGCCAGCGGGACAGATATTATCGGCGAATCCGTCGCGCGGATCTTCCAATTCCGACGCGATAATATTCGAATACAAATTTCCGCGGAAACGGCTTAATATATTAATCCCCCATCGCCGGGTCACCGGTGACGCATGATGCTGACTCTGTTTTATGCCACGCACAGAATGCACAGTTCGAGTGATCTTGACGGGGCTTGCGAAAGCGCGTTGGACGCTGCGTTTGCGTCAGCGAAGATGATAAATATAAAATAGCATGCATATTGGCAACGGATTCGCGATGTCATCGTGGAGTGGCAAAACTAAACCCGGAAGTGGAACCGTGTCCACCTTTTTCCAAATAATTCCTTATCATCCATACTATTCGAAAGAGCCAATCAGGAAAGCAACATTCTCGAAAATTCCGTCGCAGGAGAAACTTCGCTACGGATCACAGCCGACCCACATTCCTCGCGCGCTCTCCGCTTCCGCAAGTCACGTCTCGAATCAGTATATCTCTCTACACTCTACTTTCTATCGGAGAGAAAAAAAGAAACAAATTCCCGGAGGAGAGAGAGAGAGAGAGAGAAAAAAAACAGGGTGTAAGATCGAATCGCGGGGGAATCAAGGAAGAAAGCCGGCCGCCTCGCGTGCCGGTCATCGCGACAATTAAAGCCCCCTTCCGTAACTTTCCAATCTCCGGCGGAATTCGCCGGGTCCGTCGCCCCGTCGTTTCTGCGGGCGAAAAAGCGGATAAGAATGCAACTGGCCGGCCGGCCTCGTCGCGGGAGGCCTGCGAAATCATTTTAACCACGGTGGTCCGGGTATGGACGGGGATTTTCGTCGGCAGCAGGGGGACCCCCGATACGTACGCGCCGGACACAAAAAGGAATGACCGTGAAATATGATGCACGATACACGTATACGGGGCATTGTCTCGGGGATCCGCCGCGTTAACCGAGGAGGGCGAGGAGCGGAGAAAAAGAGGAGGCGTGGAGAGGGGACAGGAGGAAAGTCGCTCTCGGACAATGGGGGCGTGAGTCTCGTATGGCTCCCTCTAATGATACCGGAGCACCTCGATCGAAGCATATAAATGCGAGCGTGCGTGAGAAGCTGCGAACATTCCTGTTTATGCGTGCATTACCACGCACTTAACCGCTCCGCTCCCCTTTTCCTTGCTCCTCCTTTTTCATATCCACCCGTCGCGTCGTCGGGAAAGGGATAGAACGGGCTGGGGGCGGGACGGGAGGAAGTCGGAGGCGAGCAAAGGAATTTGCTTGAGAAAGGAGCGCTGCCGAGGGCAGACCGTCCGAGCCGATGTTCTCTACGAGCCGCGTTATCGGCTGAAGCTTCCGGGTGAGGAACGTGTCCGTCGCGGAATGTTATTCCGAC